ACTTACATACCCTAGATACAGCTCCGAGTCAGCGCCCCCTCCCCCTCCCCCTCTCCCCTCCTCCCGCCAACTCACCGCCGCCACATCTCTCGCCACTGACATCACTCGATGCAGTGGCAGTCCCTCGCCCTCGTGACACGCGCGGGACAGGTTGCAAACCATCAGCTCCTGCCCCGGAGGAGGAGGACGAGGAGGAGGGGTGGGAGAGGGAAAGGAAGGGGGAGGGGGGAGGGGAGAAAGATGGGAAGTCACGGGGGCCAGCGGTTTGTGGTTTGTGGGGAGGGGTGGGCGAGGGACGTACGGGAGACAAGGACGGGAGGGGTCCTGGGGGCGAATGAGTGAGATGCGAGCAATGCACCTGACAGCTCGCCGCGCGCTCACATACCCACTTCTGGTGGCATCCCCGCTTTGAGGGCTTCACTCCCCTTACCTCTACATCGCTACATTGACACTTTCCATCAGTACCATCATCACCATCATCACCTCGACTACCACCATCACCACGCCCATCACCATCATCATCATTACCATCATCACCATCACCTAATCTAATAATGCTTTGATTTGTAAAATCTTTGGATGGCTTTGTGCTACCAATGGGTCACACACACACACACCCCGACCCACCTCCACCAGGAAGACCTCGTCCCCCCCAGCGGTGCTCCCCGCGCCGAGCAGCGCGACCACATTGGGGTGCTGACACCGGGCCAGAATGGCGATTTCCTGGCCGGGAGGTGGGGTAAGGATGGGTGCGGGGAGGAGATCGGAGCGGGGGAGAAAGGGGTGGAAGAGGGTATGTATGTATGTATGTATGTATGTATGTATGTATGTATGTATGTATGTATGTATGTATGTATCAATGAATTGAACCGAGAGAAGGAAGTTCTATCGGAGATGATGTCAAAACCCTAAAACCCTAAAACCCTAAAGTGCAATACATGAAAGCCCCCGGGGGCTTTGGGCCCCTTCCCCGTCTCCCTCCCCCCCTCCACCGCGTACCCACCTGTTTGAGGCTCTTGACGTCATCCGCAGTACCCCCCAGTGCATCTCGATGGAATAACTTGACCGCCACTGGCCGGCCCCCTAAGTGGCCCTGGGGGGACCGGGAAGACGAACCATGAACGAGATGGGGAAGGGTGGGAAGAAAATGAAACCCACAATGGAAATGCAATATTACACGCGTCTGGGGAACTGCGGGATGAGGTGGGACGAGCGGGATTCACTGATTGAATCAGTATAAGGCATTCGGAAGGGAAGCAGCAAAAGCAGGAGAGCAGTAGCAGCAAGAGGAAGAAGAAGTGGCGGAAGGGAAAACGTGGGCGTGATGGGCTGAGGACAGCTGCAGCCGCAGCTGCAGCAGACGGCAGAGATGGGGGAAGAAGAAGAGGTGTGCCGCACGATGTCTGCTGATGAGACGCACGATACAGACATAACCGCCTCATAAACTACACACAAACACACACACTCACACACGCACCTCCAATACCGTGGCAAACGTGCCCCGCCCCACAACCGCATCCCGGGATGCAAACACGTCCACGCCCAGAACCATGTTGAGCGCTATGGTGGGTCCGCTGCTGCAGCCGCTGCCCTTGCTACCCGGCGGCGGACCCAACAAAGGATTGCACAGAACTGACTCCGCCGTCATGCCGCTGCCGCCACCTATGCCGTACATCATGCCGCCCGTCGCCGATCCGGACTGCAAGGAAGACACGTTCGTGTACGGGAGGACACCGTTGCCAGCCGCGCCAACGCCGGCGGCCGTGGCGGCGACGCTGCTGCCGTTCTCCGTCAGCTTTGGGCAGATCCATTTGGGGTAGAGTCCGCCACCAGCGCCGCCGCCGCCGCCGCCTACAGGTTGCCCATGATTGACCCATGGGCCATCTGTAGGACCCATGGGTATGCCACCAAACCCCCCGCCTCCTCCTCCATCAACGTCTCCACCTTTCCTTCCCCCCGACACCCCAATCGTCAAGGATCCCGGCTGGCCGTTGTCCAGTAGGATCGATGCCGAGCGGGGCTGGGCGTCCTGTTGCGCGGTGGACCCGCATTGCAAGGGATCGTCCAGTGACCCATGGGTCACCAGGCCGTTGGTGGCCCTACAGTACGGGGTCAGTGTACGGGTACGGGGTAAAGCTCAAGAGAGGTGGGTTTCTCTTGAAAAGAGCAATGCATATGTTAAAATGATCTGTGGCATGTGGAGGGAAATGCCGATGTATGTATGTTGTTACAGGGTGGTATAGCTTCACCAGCGGCCCCCTTTCCCATGGCAGCGGCCCCCTTTCCCCTGCTCTCCCCTGCAAGAGGGGCACCCTAATCCATTCACCCCATCCGACTTCAGAATGTATTTGTTGAGTTCGGCAACTCACCACCAGCATCCAACCAAATCTAGCGGGTCAACGGCACCTTAACGTATGTATGTATGTATGTATGTATGTATAGTAGTAGCAGAAGCATTACTAGGTAACAAATTTCAGCGCACTCAAGTGCCGGCCGTGTCAACTACGGCATCAATGCCGTACAATATTCAAACGGACAAATGGATGTCCAAAACCCTAAGAAGGCAAGAGCCAATAACGTGAGCTCTTGGGGTGGGGGGGGAGGTGTGTGCTGGGAGGTGTGGTAGCCTAGTAGTGGGTGTCAGGGAGGAACAGAGAGTTTGGGAAGGGGTGCAAACAAAGGCCTGGGGGTAGGGGGAACCACTGGAGGTTGAGGGGTATGTCGTACACCACGGGATTGAAGTAGGAGAACACCCCGTGTTTTTCCCGAGGAAACACGACACAACACGACACGACACGTACTTCAAAACACAGCCGTTGTGGGAACTGGAGCTTCCGGGGGGGCAGCCATTGCCGCCTTTTTGCCGCTTTCTCCGCCGTTGCCGCCGCCAATATAGCACTGCCGCCCCGGACACCACCAACGCCAGAGCCAAGCCTGTGTGAGGGCCATGCATATGGGATGAGAGTACGGGGGAACATTTAGCTCTGCCAAGAAAATAATTCAGGTTGAGGTGTGTCCCATTGTGGGTCGAGGTGTGACCCGTTGGACTCATCCGTTGCAAAATCAAACGGACGTGGTAGTGCCTATGTACCTATGGGTCTATAAGCGAGATGGCTGTTACAGGAGGGACCCATGGGTTAAAATGACATAGGAGTGAATGAGATGCATGAGAGTCTGTAACTTGCAAATTAACATCATCATCAATGGTCTTGACTAGGGACCCATGGGTCTACCATAGAGGTCCATAAATGAGGACCCACAGGACTAGCTACGACTAGGGTCCCACAGGACTACCTTACCGACCCATGGGTCTTCATCAGGGACCCATGGGTCTATTACAAGTTACAAGTGCCGCAATAGTGCGGGGAAGTCCATCAAAGCCATAGACTTCTAATATACATATGTATATGTATATGTATATTGAAAGTTTATTACATCGTACAACCGACTTATGTATTTAGTAGTTGTTACAGTGCAGGCCGAGCGGCTATTTGGCTATTGTTGGGGTATCCATGACTAGGGATCCCTGGGTCCATGTATGACTAATCGGCAGAGGTGGCTCCACAGCTGGGGCCCTATGGCCGTTGAGCAGGGTGCGACAGTCCGATCGGGTCCCGACAGGAATGGCACTTGTGCTGAAAATCCCGACAGGCTTTGAAAAATGCTTTCGGGCGGACCCGACGAAAAAGGGGGAAAATGCCAAACGGCCATCGGGGGCCCCGTCAGGGCCCTAGCACCCCTAACCCTGTTGGGTCCCCCGACGGGAGCCCTCCAGGCCCCGTCGGGGGCTCCCGGAGGGCTCCCGTCGGGGGACCCGACAGGGTTAGGGGTGCTAGGACCGCCCGATCGGGTGCTGTGGGTCGTCGGTGGGCCCTTCGGCGACAGACAGCTACAGCGATACATAATGGCATTCATAAAAGTGGATGGAAATATGTAATGTAGTGGTAGCATTCGTTCACTTCGTTGCCTCTTCTTCTTTATGATGCTCACAGGCAGACGTGCAGGCATGCATGTGTTGCTGTGTGTGTGTGTGTTTGTTCGTGCATATCAGAACTGTGAACTGCAAACTGAGAACTGGAAACTGCACATATAAAATACGAATAAATGTAATTTCAAGCGGCACACAGCGAAATTTCGTTCTTGCGTCACCCGACAGGTTTTGGGATGGGCTATCGGGGCACCCGACAGAAATTGAAAGATATGCAAAAACGCTATCGGGTGGGGCCGACGGGCATGGGAAAGGGAAAACCGGCAACCCGACCATTTCAGGAAGGTCCTGTCCAACCCTGCCATTGAGGCATGCATTAGTGTGGTGCTTTGCCGTGCATGGGCCACAGTGCTGTGCGGTTGGGTTGGCGCTCGCTACATCCACCCCCTCCCCCTCCCAAACTACATCCACCCCCCCCTCCCCCTCCCAAACTACGTCTACCCCCTCCCCCTCCCAAACTACATCCACCCCCTCCCCCTCCTATTCACCTCCAAGGACCGTCGGGAGGACTATGGCCAGCAGTGGTACTCGTGATGGCGGAACTTGCAGGTAGTTGGACAGATCATAATCCTGCCAATACCACAGACGGTACTTGTCCATTGCTTGCTTTTGACAAGCTGGTACTCCAAGGCCTTGTAACAGACATTCTGTGGAGATGACCTCTTGACACACGTACGTTGTGTTGTACTCGAATATCTGCATGAGGAGCAGTTCGGCAGCACAGGGGGTAGCATGCAACCGTACGTTAAAGCACACACGGTGCGAGAGTTGCTCACAACATGCATGAAACACGGGAATCACATTACCTGTTGCGAGTCTCTTGCAAGCACTACATGCGATGGCTCAGGGCGAATAACGGCCAATATTCACCCCCTTATCTCTCTCTCTCTCTCTCCCCCTTCCCCCCTCTCTCTCTCTCTTTTCCTCCCACACTCTGTGATTGTGCACATATATACATGGTGGGAGGCGCGGGCATGAACTGCCCATACATACATACACGTCTACATACATATCCCAGCCTAACCGATGTCCCCCCCAGCCCATGTCCCAAGCCCACTTGATATTCAACCCACGCTGAACTCTTGTTCAAGATCGGCAGGGTGGGGTGGGGGGTCGCCAATCCGCAATCAGAAGGCACCTTCACTGACAGATCTTTTTAAATCTGCCAACACCATTGCCTACTTTATGTTAACTCAACCACTGGTGGTCAGCTTGTCCCACCACCAACGCCACCCGCAGTAGTGGGACCCTACAACACTCTTTCTCCCGGTGGTGCTGGGTCCCGGCGGACCATACGACGGTAGCAACAAAAAAAACCCATCCTCGCACCCCCCACAACATCTACAGTGTAGATTCTACACCCATACCTTCCACCACGCTCGTCCTATCTTTACCCTCTCCCCCCCGCTCCTCGCCATCCATTTCCCCACCCCCATTTCCACAACCTACCGGCCCGCAACACCCTTGCCACCAAAAACCCCCAGCCCCCTCCTTGGCGCCGTTCCCATCCCCGTCCGCAGCACCCCAAAACCCAACACACACACGCACCGCCCCGACTGTCAATCGGACCCCGTTCGGGTCCAGCGTAGACCCAGCAGATACCAGGCTCACAAGCACCATGGAATCCGACCAGCACTTGGGACTGAAATCAACATCCGGGAAGCAAACGGGGCCGGCAATGTAGGCCAGCTGTTTTCCCGGAAACCCTGGAGGTCGCTCCACCATGATGGTGTAGTTGGCGGCGATTTTGAGAGGGACGCATAGAGCGTACACGAGCACGACGTCCCGCATGATGACGGCTGAATTTGGTTTCATGGAAAAAATGTCCAAGCTGCCGTAGCTGGTGGCTGAGGGTTGGCGGCTGTTGGGGATGAAAAGGCGCTCCAACGTCACTGCGATGTTGTCTTCTATGCCGATGCGGCGTTTTAGAAATGCCACGTCCAACATGGTGTAACTCAGCTCCCCGCGTATGGTGATGTTGCGGTATAGCTTCACTGTGGGTTTGGTGGCGTGGGATTTGGCGTGGGAGGCAGTAGACAGACGGCATGTGGGTTGGATGTGGGATGGAATATGGAATGTGGAGATGGGAGCTAGGATGCATCCATGATGTAAAGCTGTGAAAGGCGCGGGCGAATAGGGCTAAGCCTGGAAGGCGTAGTCGGTGTGCGCGCTCGTATTGCATGATACCGACATGCGGTATGGGGTGTCGGGGTGCAACTAACTAACCCCCCTCACCGTCCACCAAGGTTTCTTCTTTGGTATTAACCCAAGCACAGGGCTCTTTGGGTGGGCGAACCGTATGTATGCAGCATAGGAGGACTTGATTAAGAAGACATGGATGCCAAACGGGAGATAGGCTCGTTCACCCCGGACGTTGATGCCTCACCGCGGCGCTCGGGAAGGTCGGCGACCAGGGATACAAGCACCGCTTGATCCATCTTGAATCCTTTCCCACTGATTAGGATGGTTGAACACGAGCTATTGGCCAAAACGGACACAAACTCCGCCGTGTTGGATGCCCAGCACGGAAGTCCTGTCTGTGCTGAGACTGATGCAAACAACCATAGTATTATCAAATGCAGCAGCCAGAATATCCGTCTCCTGCATTCCGTGGTGCGCAGCCTAATCAGGGCAGCACATTTCGCAGTGGAGACCAAGCCCAATTCCAAGCTCCCATCTTTGGAGAAGTCCGACATCATGTTTTCCTGCGCCTGGAATCAAGTGTGCGTAAGCACACTCAACACTAAGTGAGCCTATTGTTCCGCATCCTATAGGAGAGAGCAACTCCATAACTGGCACATGGTAGGGGTTTATCATAACACCTTGTATGGAAATGTATGAAGCAACTGCCACACATAGTTGGTTGGAGAGAGCGAAACTCATTAATTGCGTAAGAAAGAGTGAGAACATGAACGTCCTAACATTGTCCACCCGGTAGCTCAAGCACAGCTATTATTGTTTCAATGAAGCTTGTGAGGAATATTACTAGGAAACAAGGCACATCATGCCATGCTGGCGTGACTTGGTCCCTGCCGCGTAGGAACTTGTTTGCAAAAGGCTGGCTTTCATCTACTGAATCCATTTCCTTACGACCACAAAAATAGATGCGCTCGAATGTGCGTGTTTACGCGATACTGCGTTAGCCGGGTTATGCCCCGTCACGTGGTTGTTGGTCCACAGTGAAGACTACCAGTTACGCCTTTAGGACAGGGGCTGCCGCATCTAATCCGTTTAGCCAGCGCCTTAGCAACCTTACCGCTGCTCGCGCGCTGTTCAAACCGCCACGAGGCGCACCCGCATCCGTTACCCTCTTCTGCAAGGGTGCGCTCCTGTCCGCGACTTATAACAGCCTCCCCTTTGCACTGCGACATAAGCACCACACCACCGCGCCCCCGATAGCCCGATAGTGAACCTCCACTGCTGTGGATGGGAGCTATGTGAGCATGAGGGCGGGCGGGGTGCACCATTTCTGCTGCCACTCACCAAAGAGGAGGGTAGCAGATGTGGGGGGGGGCTCTACGACGGCCGTAGGCGGTCTAGTAGGTAGACTTGGTTTTGTAAATCCCGTGCTATAGACCCCGTCCCCCAACCTTTAAAGGAATCAACAAAACTGACATGAAAGGCTTTGGAGGAACAGAGAAGAGGCGGTGGTCCATCCCTAACCCCCTGAGATAAGGTCAGATAAGGTCAGATCAGACAAGATCGCCAACGAAGCAAAAAAAACAAGAAACTGAATAATGAAGTCAGGAGCGCCATCATACAGAATCTGCAGGCAGTAAAAATGCTATCAAAGTGCTTTTGATGCCTTGCCTACTTTCAGCACCGAATATCAAACTCGGCTCTAATACACAACGACAGCCCCCGATTACATCATTATTATTGTGTCACCCCACAGGGAGGAAGAATTCGCGCACACACACAGCTACAGAACGGACCCTCATCGGCCTTGCGTGCGCAACAACAATGACCCAATTCGGTGAAAAACATACACCGTACATACCGTACACACACACACACAAGAATCGACACAACCGTTGCCGTCGTCGCGTTCTATTTTCATCCTATTTTTGCGCAGAGCAGCCCTTTCACGGGATCCCCCGCACCTTGCCACCTGTCGATCGAGCGTTACACAGAAAACATAAAAGAGGCACACACATACATACGTACGTGTATACGTACATACATACACACGCGCAGGCACCCTATGTGCTGCACTAGCCATTATGTGTCTCCATCATATCATCACCATCATCATTTTCATCATTATCGTCCTCTGATCACAGCGCTGAAACAGCCTCGTGTTACAAGCCGAAGACCGCATTTTCTACAACGATTGGCAATCTCAATTTCGCCAAAGGAAAATGAGCAAAGCAAGCAAGCTAACAAAAACATACAACATACATGCTCACATACACGCATACACACACACCTACATACATATGCACAGTGTTGACATGTTCCATTCTCCTTGTCGCATAGGCAGTGCGGTAAAGACGCCGAGGGCGCCGAGACCGACAGGACGATCAAACGCGACAGATTGAGAGGGGAGCTCAGACGAGACGCTCAGGGCCAGGAAGCAACTCGGAAGGTCCCCTTCCAACGCAGGAAAAAGAAGTGCCACGCTCCCTCCACCCCGTGACGACTTCCAACCCCGTGTTTGGTGTCATGACACACAGGCTTTTTTTCTTCCTTTTTTGGGGTTAATTGTGACAAAGACAGGTTTCGAACCCGGGCTTTTCCTAAGGGGTTCTTACCTCTCTTCCTCCTTGACCTCCTAAACCCCTCCTTCCTGTCCTCCTTCCCCCTGCACCCACGCGCTTGTGTCTGTTTGTCTGTCTGTCTGTAAGCAAGTTCAGGGCGTTAACCTGGTATATAGGGCCGTCATTGGTTCGCAATCCCGAGCACACGTTTGAAAAGATGATAATACAGAACAGAACAAAGAGTAGAAGCATACACATACACGATGAACGTATCCCGAGAATGTTTCTTTATCTCACATCTCGCACCGCACACATGTTGCCTGTAAAGGACATGCACACGGTGGTGATAGTCCGCAGCTCGCGATTGGCAGGGTAACACGACCGCCACATTCCGGCAAGGCAGCACCAGAAAGAAGAACGCCGTTCTTTCTTGAGCGGCGCAAGTACCAAAATAACATCCTAACGCGTCAGATTTATAAGACTTTTGAAAAAGAGAAAGACGACCGTGTGGTTTTGTGTGATTTTGGAGGTCCCACACATACACACATGGCTTAGGGGGGCGATATAGAGATGCACAAGGACAACCTTGCCCTACGACATAACGGTTCGTAAAAATAACGCGTCCGTACCCAACTACTACTACGCAACTACCTAACCGCCTAAACGTGGCCACCAGAACGCTGTTGCATGCATCCACCAAAGCTTTATCTCTCAGCTATATACCACCACGACAGACACCTTCAATTTATATCCGTCCATATCCACATTATACACAAGAATGGGCACGGCAACAAGGTAAGTTAGGTTTGACGGGACAGACTAACGCGATGTGGCACGAGGTAGAACCGGAGCACAGCCCACATCACACGGCTTGCGTTGCAAAGCCGACAGTTACGTGGCAGGCAAGCACTACTCGCTCGACATACATACATACATACATACATACATACACACACACACATTACACGGATTAGGGTGCCCCTCTAGCAGGGGAGAGCAGGGAACTGCCTCGAAAAAGGGGGCCGCTGGCGAAGCCATACCACCCTATAACAACATACATACACACACGCGGACACACTTCGGGGGTGTTCCCTCCAACAGACCATCCTCGGATTCATGCTGGCTGGCCTACCGATACACTCACTCACACATACATACATACATGCATATATGCACACAGACACTAGAAGTTTCCCTTAACACACACAGACAGACACGCGCACTGTCATCGCGGCTGCGGCTCCGGCTGCTGTACGGCTTCCGCCACCGCAGCAGCCGTCCCCGACTCCCCCCGCCGTCCCCACTCCCCCCCCCTTTCCTCCCGCCCCAAGCCGCAATCCCCCAACGGGTACCAGCCCTGGCCCTACCACCTCCTGATGGACAGACCTACGTACAGACGAACTTGTCTCCTCCTGAAAGCGCACTCTATAACGCTCCCACTAACCACACGTCCCATACACACACCAATGCCACTGGTCACACACCCTGGCCGCCAATCTCCGATGCCAAACCGCCAATTTTCCGATGTGAATGGGACATCGCACACAGAGCCGTGTGAGAGGAGAGTCCGTGTACAATCCGCAGTACACCAAAATCCTATCTGGACGGAGGAACGCACTAACGCGCACATCTGCAGGGAGGGGGGGAGAAAACACAAACGGGACGCCGGTGCTCTTGTTGTAAGACCTGCAGACACAGGTGAATACAAGAGTACGAATACAAGAGGATGTAGATTTTCACAAGGTATCATCTTCCCGGAGTTTGGCCCTACTGTGGTTACACAACAAAGGAGGCCGTCCACCGTCCCGGAAAGCCTCCTTCCGACCCCGCCCCCACATCCTCAGACACACAGACAGACAGACATAGGCACATACAGACCCCATCCTCGTCCCCTCCCGTCCCCGTATCAACCCAGAGCGCCCCAGTCTCACCGGTCTCAGTTTCCCCTAGAACCCTCAACCCCTTCAGACCGCAGCGAGCTCAAGAACTCCATTCCCTCCCCGGCGCCCACTTGCCTTCTCATAACCGCGCGGGGGGACAACACTTCATCGACTACAAACACCCCCCACTCCGCACCCCGGGGCCCCTCTCCTCTGTCGCGGGGGGGGGGGGGCTGGAAGTCATACGACGACGATGGCGACGATGCCCATAATAATGCATTCCCACCTTCCCCATACTCGCGGAGTCCTCGCGGAGTCCATATTATAGTCTACATAAACAATATAGAGACATCCCTAGGGCCCTGAAGAAACAACCAAACCATGCTCCTCAAAGCCAGAACTCCTCTCTATATATAGATATATAAACCAGGTGGACCTCAATCTTGGAAGGTTCCGCTACGACGAACTCACCAAGCTACTACTACACCCACCACAAAGACATAAAAGCAGAGCACCCCAAACGCGCGCTCTGCGCCTCTCATGAAGGCCTTCGGTTGGGCAGTTTTAGCAACGCGCGTTGCCGTTTCTGTACAATCCAACAACCAACCACCAACGACACCCCATCCTCTGAAAACGTTATATAGCGCTGTCATCCGTCCTTGCACCACCACCACCACCACCGCCACGCCGCCAGCACCCTAGGCCGGCATGTGCGACCGGATGGCGTGTGTGTGTGTGTGTGTGTGTGTGTGTGTGTGTGTGACAAGTATGCTTCCAAAAGCAAGGAGCTTGTGGGCGGGGGATTCAAGTCATATGCACGGGGTAGACCAGAAACGGACAGGAGACGACAGGAGCCCCCTGTGGGTGGGGTTGCCTGGGCCCCAGAAACCCTCTTTTCCCTCCATCTTCATGGAGGTGAAGGTGGTATTAAATTTGATTCACTTGCCCCTGGTGCTGTAAGGACCGTCTTCCCATGCGCCGCCACCGGCTCACGCTGCTCCCCGCACATCCAGCGCCTCCGCTACCCTCCGGCTATGGCAGCTCTTCTGCTGCTCGCCCTCCTCCGCCTCTACCACAGCAGCAGCAGCGGTGGGTACGGCAGCTACATCCGTCGTGATAAACGCCACAGCCGACGGCGCGTCTGATTGTCCGGGTGTCGAGAAGAGTCGGTCGGCGGTGGCGGCGCCACCGGGACTGTTGCCGCCACCGCCGTTTGCGAAGACGCCGTCAGCTGCGGAGGTGACGGGATCTGCGCTCAACGGCATTGAGTTCTCTGACGACAGGAGCGCCACCTCCGCAGGGGCTTCCAGGGAGATGGAGCCAGGCAAGACGCCGCATGTGGTGTTGGTCGCCAACGTCGGGGACATCGGCGGCGGCGACGGCGGCGGCGGCGAAGAATGGAGCACTGGCGGACTCGAGCGGGAGTGGGGCCCCAGATCTTCCGTGGCGGCGGCGGCCTGCTGCTGCGCGGCCGCCGCCGGCGACATCGGCGGCAGGGGCGGCGAGTCCGGAGGCCTGGCGGTGCCAGGAGCGCCTGACGGCGTCGTCGGCCGCGAGCGGCCTTCATTCGCCGCGGCGGCCGCGGCCGCCAACGCGGCTTTGTAATTATCTGAGATGCCCCGCCGCCGCTCCGACAGGTCATAACGGCGGGAGCCGGAAAGGGAGCGGTAGAACGCCTGCCCAGCGGCGTCAGAAAAGGGCTCAACGACCGTGGCCGGCGGCGGCGTCGACGGGGCGCTGGTGGCGCCTGTACGAACTCCAGCCACGGCTCCTCCTCCTCCTGCTCCAGCGACGCCGGTCATCGACGGCGGCGGACGCGCGGAATTGCAATGCGGAGGACTACCTAGCGACGCAACAGGTCGTACGGTAACGAAACTGCCGCCGCCGCCGCCGCCGTCGCCGCCACCCCAGCTGCCGCCGCACCGTAGGCCGCCAATGCCACCGGCGGCAGCGGCGCGGAGCCATTCCGGCGGCGTGTAGCAGCCCCCGGCGTCGTCATCCCAATCGCCCCCCGCCGTCGTGGGCCCCATAACGAGGGTCTGTGCAGAAGGGCGATGTGCTGGCGGGGAGTTTGCCGTACTCGCCCAGGTGGTGGTTGTTACCCGCCAGTGTGGATGGTCGTAGTTGGCGGAGGCGGAATGGGGCCTTACAACTGGAGATCGACATCCCCCGGTGGCAACACCAATACCGGCGCCCCTGACACACCCTTGCTGCCGTACTTCCCCTTGTGGGTGCTGCCGCGCCAGCTCTAGCTGCCACTCTGGATCATGCTGATGATGAGGCGGCTGATAGCAGCCGTGAAACTCGGGGTGCTGTTGCAGGTGCTGTTGCTGTTGCTGTTGTTGCTGTTGTTGTTTTTCCAGGTGCTGTTGCTGTTGTTGTTTTTCCAGGTGCTGCTGTTGCTGTTCTTGTTGCTCGTATACAGCCGCGTGCTCTTGGTGTTGGAGCTCAAAGGTTTCCTCGACGTCGACCCGTGGCAGATCCGGCTCCATAAGCAGCACCACAGGCCCGGCACTGCCGCCGCCGCCGCCGCCAGCGGCGGAAGCCGAGGCCGTCCAAACCGATGTCAAACCCGGACCCAGCAGCGGCGCCGCCAGGACGGTATTGTCCAGTGACAGCATTTCCTGCTGTTGTTGTTGTTGGTGGTGTTGATGTTGACAATGGTGGGCTGGGTTAGCGGGCCGTGACATGCTGCGAGTGAAGTCCGCAGGTTCGGCGCCACCGTTGCCGAGACCGCCTGCATGAATGTCCAGCGTCGACGTCGCCGCCGCCGCCGCCTCCGCCGCCGCCGAGGTAGTGTTGATGCCACAAGCGCAAACACCCGCTGCCGCCTCCGATCCAGTGCCGGGGCGGCCACGGCCCTGACTGCTTCGCTGCTCGACATGCAACAGCTGTTGCTGCTGTGGTGGCGGCGGCGGCAGTGGCGGCAGAATCAGCTGCGGTGCAAAATCAGGGGCTTCCATGGCGTGGCCATGGCTAATCCTGACAACCTGGTGCGTGCCGCAGTCAGCTTGGTACAGCAGCGCCTGGAGGTTCTCGTGCCCATGTCCGTACATTTGCCCGTTGTACTCTTCAGCGTAGACCTGCCGCGCGTGCATCTGACCTTGGGACAACTGCCGTACATGGCGCCTCCTTCGGCCTCTGCCGCGATCCAGCTGGTTCTGCCTCCGCCGCCGGCGGCGACTGCCTTCGCCTCCGCCTCCGCCGCCGGTGCCTTCGTCTTCCGCCACTCCCAGAAACCCCTCCGGCTGGCGGCGCCGGCGCGCTTCGTACGACTGGGATTTATATGACAGGTGCTGTTGTTGTTGATGGTGGTGGTGATGGTGGGTGAGATGGTGGTGATTATCGAGGTATGTGTGCAGGCGAGGTTGGCGACCTTTCTCCTGGGGGACTTCCGAGCACCAGCCGTTCGGAAGCTCTGTACCCACCGCCGCCGCCGCCACCACTGCTGCTGCTGATGATGACGGTGGGTCCAACGATGCCATGTCCCAGACCTTTCTATCTGCAAATCCCTCCATATCGCCGAGAGCCGCTTCCTCCTCCACATTGACACGGGCCCCCTCCTCCTCCTCATCATCGTCGTCATCATCAACCTCGCTGCCGTACGCTACATTCCATGTACGACTGCTCTCGAGCCCGTACCCGCGGCATGCGCCGCCGCTGGTGTTGGTGGCGGTGTTGGTGGCGGTGCTCGTGAGCTCCTCGACTTGGCGCAGGAAGAGCACCAATAGGTCAGGGGAGGCAGAAGAAGGAACCGACTGCCGCTGCTGCAATTGCTGCAACTGCTGCAACTGATGATGATGATGATAGAGACCCGTTTCTTGGTGCTGCTGGCCGCATTGCCAGTTTCGCTGTTGCCGCAGCAGCTGCTGTTGCAGCTCCTGCAGCTGCTGCTCCAGTTGGTTCTGCCGCTCCGCGTCCTGGTCCTTCATGGCGGCCATGTGTTGCGCGAGGGTCTTCTCCTGGACGGGGAAGAGGACACGGCGCCGCACGAAGCACCCATACCTCACCAACAGTGCCTGACTGTATGTAAGGACTCTGTTACAATTTAAAGAACACCCCTTTAATAAAAAACGCTGCAAAGTACCTCCAATCGCAACCATCCCTCACCCACATCCCCCTCCACCCCCAACCCCAATCCCGCGCAGCCCGTCCACAACCTGGCCAGAGAAACAACAAAAACGTCAGAGCGCCAACCTGGCATCGATCCGTCAGCCCCCATCACCCCGCTTGTTCCCCCACGGCCAGTTAAAACGGGCGACCTCAAAGGCTACCTCAAAGCAAAACATTCTGGGCGCCCTCCTGGGGCTCCTTTTCGCCATACCTGGAGCGGCACACAACCGGAATGCTGCAACCCAGCAGTATCAGAAGCGAAGCTGTCGTAATTCTGCTGCTGCTGCTGTTGACGCTGTTGTAATGGTGGACGACGCATACCGGCGGGCAGTTCCGCTGAACGCTCCAGGCGTGACGATGGGCGGAGGTGAGAGTGCCAATCGGCGGCGTGGGTGTTCTGCCAATCCGCGGTGACGCCGGCCGTACTGCCGCCGCCACCTCCGCCGCCACTGCCGTCGCACCCAAGATAGAGCCCTGAAACGCCGCCTCCGCCGCCACCTCCCCCTCCGCCGTCGCAGCAACGGTCCATGTTAGGGTTCAATCCCCAGTGCTGCTGCTGGAGGCTACTGAAATGCGCCTTGTTCTGTCGATGTTGTTGAGGCTGCTGCCGTACGAGACCCCATTGTGGCTGTGACGTCATCGCCAAGTCGCTGGGACAATATGCCGCCCTGTGTGAAAAGGACGAGAGTACATCTTCGCTCATCCCCGCCGCTCGATGTCGATTTCCCACCGGCGTACTTGCCGCCGTCGCCGTTGGCGTCGCCGCTGCTACTGCATCCGTCGGGTTTGCCGCCGTAGCCGTTAACGATGACCCCGCCGCCGCAACGGCAGCCGCGCCGCCATCTAGCGACATCAAGTCTTCCAAGTCGTCCAGATCGGCCACGTCACAGCAGTACGAATCCAGTATGAACGGCGGTACGGCAGTTGGGTACGGTAGACTAGATTGCGGCGGAAGCAACACAGGAGCCGTGCGGTCACCGTCCAACGCTACTGCTGCTGCCGCCGCTGCAGCGGCGGCGGCGGCAGGGTGAAGGCTGTAGCTCGCGCTCCGATGCACTGCTGCTGAGACGCCGTCCCCGACGGCGGCGGCGCCGCCACGTCTATGCCGTGTTCGCTCGGCCGCTTTCCGAGAGCGAGCAAGCACCACGTCGCTTTTGGTCACACCCAGATCCAGATTTGGAACCATGGCGGACGTCTCTCGGTCTGCGGCTGAAGTAGCAAATGCGGCGGCAGCATCCGCCGCCGCAGCGGCATCAGGGGCCTGAAGCAACCCGCCAGTCTGCCAGGACGCCCGGTTGACGTCAACCATGCAATCCCCGTCTGAGCCCCCGTTAGTCTCAAGGACCAGAGAGAACCAGCCGTCGCTGCCGCCACCGCCGCTGGCCTCGTCCATGTCGTACTCGCCTTCGTACGAATACAGCTCGCTGCCGCCGTACCCCTCGCCAACGTCATCCTCCTCGTCCTCCTCATCACCACATCCATCGCCGTCATCCCCCTCGATGTCACCATCACCATCACCATCTTCATCATCGTCGTCGCTGCTGAATTCACTGTTGTACGGCGCCGCGCCGTCGGTGCCGTGAAGCGTCGATTCCAACAGAATATAGTCCTGAGTGCTCCGGTCTGTCTCGAGCCGGTATCGGAAGAACTGCTGCTGCATCCGGCCGTCACTGGAAAGGACCACCCGAGGCTCAACATCCCCCAGCCCCAAGCGCGTGTGGACGCCCAATGCACTTGCGCCGGCAGCGCCCTTGCCATCCACGTCTTGCAGCTGCGGGGTTGTCGACCGCATCACGGGAGCTGGCAGTGACGGCGACGGCGGCCTCTGCTGCTCCCCTGCGACGGCGGTGTCGGCGGCCTGGCCAAGGGACACCGCACCTCTCGTCCTGCTCCTTTCCTCTTCCCGCCAAATACTTTCATTCCCCTCGATAAAAGCCCCCCGTGCGGGGTCCCGTCTCGCGCCGTCGCCGCCGCTTTCGACGACGCAAACTGATCCGTTGCCGGCTGAGGCCGTGTGGCGGCTACCTCGTTCCTGCCCGTGCTCCTCTTCCTCCTCCTCCTCCTGCTTCACCTCCTCCAGGACATACCTGGAGCTACGTGTTGAGCCTTCCACTCGAGCGCTGTCCCGCGCTTCTACATCCTTCTTCTTCCCTTCCCCGTCCTTCGCAACAGGCCGCTTCTGCTGCTCCTCATCCTCCTCCTGCTCCTCTCCCCTTTCCCCTGCCTTCCCGAGCCGCTGCTCCTCATCATCATTTTTCTCTTTTCCGGGCGACAGCAGCAGCACCTGTTGTTGCTGTTGTTGTTGACCGTGCGGGTAGGCCTGCCCGTGCCGTACCTGCGACGAGCCTGGCAAGCCACGGCCGTCTTCAGCATCGGGCCCATCTGGGTTACTGACTGGCCCGACCGCCTCCACGATGCCGCCGCCGCCGCCATTCACACAGACGGCGGCTGTGGCCGCGTCAACGGATCGACCGACGACCTCCCCCTCAGCCGCCGTCACGGCAACCCAGGGTGGTGACGGCGACGCCGCTGATGACGGGAACGGAGCCCGCGGCGGCCGTTGCCGCCGTCCGGCACTCCAATGTACGGGGCTGGCTGCACCACTCGATGGGCAACCACCAACGGCTGTGGCGGTGCCGAAAGCGCCAAAGCCGTTGCCCCTCATGGTGAGGTGGATCGCGGCGGCGGAGGCCGAGCGAAGCAGCATCGGCGAACCCGGGCTTCCGGCGTACGGCATGATGGGGCAGGAGGCCCGGGTAGTAATGACCGGGCCGCCGCCGCCCGCATAGCCATGGTGCGAAGGTAGCGGCGACATGTGCGAGGCCTGCATGCAAGCAGTAGGTGAGTAGGCCGCCTTGTTAAGATTGGTTGCGGTGATGATGACGATGATGGTGGTGATGATGATGGTGGTGATGCAGGAAAGTGACAAACAGACAGACAGAGGAGAGCATAGGGGGCTGACCCATATCAAGACTCTTCCCCATCCCCCTCGCCCGCCTCCCCCATGCCACCCCTGCTGATTCTCCCCTCCCTTACGCGCCACGCGGCGTTTCTTACGGACGCAGGCCAAGGCCGGCACCCCGCCCCACACACCACCGCAGCGACTGAAGACCGCCAAGAGAAAGACGAGCACGTACTCCGGAAATTCTTGACCGGATTCGTTTGGCAGGAATGGCAACTATGGAAATCTAGCCGGCCTTACGTCAACTCAACGGCGCCCAGGGCCACCCCATCAAGCATTACCCACCTCGACACCCACAACATCACAATCCACGATCAGCGGCGGCACCGAGCTACGTCGCCGGCGCTGCAGCGGCAAACCCCCTGCCGCCGAGGTTGGGCTCGTTGCCGCCGGCCCCGTCGCCCCCGGGCTGCCGCTGCTCGGGCCCCGCTGGAAAGGGCTGTTGCTGCTCCGCCACGGCAGCTGACCGCCTAGGACTTGATACTGCTGGTGGCGGTCCTGATGATGATGATGATGATGATGACGGTGGTGATGAAGATGTGGTGACGGCGACTGCATGCCGTGGCGCACGGCTATAGCCGCCGCCGACACCGCCGTCGCTTGGGAGGGTGACGGTGGCGCGCCCAAACCAAAGCCGCGCATAGCCGCGGTCCCTCGTACAGCTCCTCCTCTACACGCCGGCCCCTCCCCCTCCCCCATCACCTCTTCGGCCTCGGCTTCGTGAACGCCGGCACGTCCAGGCGATGCCAGGGCCAGGCCCTTGCCGCAGTGGTGATCGCCAGCGCGGCCGCCACGGCTGGGGAGCGACAGGATGGCGATCAGCTCCGCAGCCAACACGAGGAGGACTATGTGGGCGAAGGCAGCGGCGAGGCAGCCCCGGAGGGTGCCGCCGCCGACGGCTGACCGGTACACTGGGGAAAGAGGGGGGAGCGGGGTAGAAGTCGAATGGGGGGTTGCGTGTAGAGAAAGGGTCGCGGATTGGTTGGTCGGATAACAAACACTACTGGAGGGAGTGAGAAAGGGTGCGGCCGCAGGAAGGACATGAGACGAAAGGCGAGCGAAGGGGAATTGAGACGGGGAAGGGGGAAGAAGTTGTGGGAGGCTTTGTGGGACATGGGGAAGAGGCTTTCGGGGGAAAAGGGGGTTGACCGTGGGCAAGGGGGTGCGCATGGCGGTGGTAGCCACACCGTGCAGTGGGGATTCTTGCTGGGTTGAGAAACATGGCTGCTGGATGGAGCTAGGGATGGGGAGGGAACTGGGAATCATTGGTTTCAGTTTTCCGTTTGTATGGATTTTCGAAACCCGCCGCCGTGGCGCCTGGTGCTTGGGCGATGTTTGCCGTTGCCTATGGCAGCAGTGCGGGTGGCGGTGGAATGCAAGTCCACGATGGCGCAACTACGCGAGACAATTCCGGAGGCAATCCGGGCGCGCGGAGACGGTTGAGCGAAGACGAATCATCAGTGCCGCGACTAGAGATGTCAGGCCGCGCCAGCAGCAGTACCAGAATTGCGCAAAGAGCTACGTCCCACAGAGGCACCATGATGATGTGGAGCTGACAACCCAACAGGGAATCTTATGTCCGGACTTGCCAAGTGCTTCCACGCTGGGATGAATGCGCACGACCGCGAGGACCTACCGAACCAGAAGGAGGCTAGGAGAAGCTGCCAAAAGCCGAGCGATGGCGTATGGACTTGTTCCATAGGAGATTGGGCTTTGCTTGGGCACGGATGGTGGATGAGAATCATGGCTACCGAAATGGTCAACACCGTCGCGGCGCATGACCGGAACAGAGCCCCCAAGGCACCGACGGTTGAACCTGCAGCTCAGGTCAAACGCGCGGTTGTCTACTGTCTACTCCGAGCTTTGGCGATGGAGTGGAATGGGTTCTTATGGCCGACGGCCTGTCGTTCGGGGGTGTTGCGGTAATCATACCGATCCCCCAGACAGCACATATGGAGCCTAGGGTCTATACAGAGCAGGACTACCAACGCAGAGCTTGATCCGGAAATTCCTTACCAAGGATTATGCCCAGTAAAACCTCGGTTGCAGCTATGCAGCTGTTCGCCCCAAACCTCAGAACAAAGACGAGGACCGCCGCCTGCACGAATCGCCCATCAAGCAATTCGATTCATTACAGGCCAGCAGAAACTGCTCTATGCCAGCATCGATACTGCAACGCTGCGAGCTATGCTTCTGCAAAGGATTTCCTCAAGTCACACCTGAGTAGCCTGTTCCCATGTTTCAGTCGAAATGAAGCCCGCAAAACCGATACGGGCTATGCAGGTCGTCAACAGGAGCAAAGCAGCTCCTGAGAGAAGCCTTCCGACTGCGACATGCTTCACTCCTGGCGGATGTTTCTTGCCTACGTCCACTTCTGACATCCTTGTGAATCCCTATACAATCTTCATATGTCCTCGGTCATTGTCACTAGCGAAAACCACCACACCTAACACAGTAGTCACAGGCCAAGCATATGCTTAAACGTAATCTTTCTGTATATCCATCCGAAAACGGCAGGTGGGCGTTTGAGTAATGCATCGCTACGCGATGTTAGGAGTAGAGTCCTGCAAAGCCGGAGTGTACGTCGAGGCCATGAGTGTTTCCGAGAGCCGAAAAATGGCAATGAGAAAGATATACATTGAGATTAAAGACTTTCCTACTCAACACAAGCGCACCTTCAAGCCTGAACCAGATTTCTGTGGATTCCAAACGAATAGACTCTTTCCGATACACCGTCGGCAAGCAAGGCTGCGCCTGAAAATTTTGGGCCTATCTGGAACCCTTATGCAAGGATGTGTTTTGATCACGTCAGCAAAGCACATCAATTGGGGTTTACAACTCTATATGTTTGCTAATCTTGGGCCTTATGCCTAACACATAACGGCAAGGACATACAACTCCTTGTAGCCGTCGATCTTAACGGGCTTGATTTTTTCATTGCAGCAGTGCATGTCAGGAGGTGCCAATAGTCGTATCGCTTTGGAAGTTGGGCACCGGTATTGATAAGTGCGATAATTCTGCACCTCCCAATCATGCCTCCTGCTATCTAGAAGCATGATTTTCCTCACATATTGGCGCAAAAGTTATTATAGACGCCCGCACACAGGCCACGGCGGAGAGGACCCAGAAATCCCAAATTTCCTATATATGCTTGGAACTTACTAGCTGTGGATAATGCAACACGCGCAAGCGTGTTTCAATGACGAGCATATGATGAGCAATCGGCTTGCCAAGTGAAGCAGGGAATGCACAAACTCGACTTAGGAAATGACCCAAGGACGTGGAGAGAGTCATATGCAGTAGTATACAACTATAAACTCTTCTCACGACCTCATATATCAGGAAGCATTTTCCCGACTGCATGCTGTACTTGACAGAAGCTTGGCCGTGTCCTCTGGCTGGCCCGTTACATTTTGAATTGTAACGAGTATTCTGAGGTAGCGGTTGTGGTGGGTGGTATAAGGGCGTGGAGACCGGGGCATGGTTCAGGAGGGGACGTCAACAGGAACCTAACAACAACCAGCAAATGGGATTCAACTCCGGGATCTGATTTCGCTGATTCAGCGGTGGCCGGGAGCAAGTTGATTTCCATTGTGCAAATCCCAGCATATCCAACATTCCCTTACATTAGGCAAGCTTATTAGACGATTGGCAATTGGTATTACAAGCTGACCGACATAATTGAATGCCGTACTGCGTCAACCGCTAACGACGGCTGAACTCGTATCGAGCCCCTCGTAGTGCGTACCGTAACCTAGGTTTTATACTGCCTATCATTCCAAAGTTGTAAGGCAACGTGACGGGACAGCTTAAGCAGGTTATCTGATACCCAAGCCCGTGCTGCGCCTCATAGTGCTTTCCATTCGATAGTGGCAGATAAGAGACTTTCAGATTTCTAACATCTTACAGGATGGAGGCGGCAGGGGCTGTTGTTGAGAACATCGGCTCACCACAGGATTTGCAGGCGGCAGTGGCACATGGCAAGCCGGTGGGTCAACATGTGGTTAACTTGTGTACTTCATTTGAGGATCAACGCAAACAAATGGCCTTGCGGCCAGGATAGGCAGTGTCGGAGTCGGGATCTCACGCATTTCGTATGTTCAAGGTCCTAACCGATGCATCGGAAGGCATCTTTTCCCATATAATCATATCTTTGAACCCCATGTAACTGCTCACGATCAAAAATATCCAGGGCTTTATAAAAACCCTGCACTCCGCACCGCACTGTAACCTGCAAATCCAAGCGCAATACTGAATTGCCAAGAATGCCACGACTTCTTTGGCTCCCTGCACAGGAACAGGGACCTTGATGCAGACCAGATCCCCATCCTAAACAACTCCTAAATCCCCCAACCTCAATCTGGCTCGTTCCACTCCCCACGGTGGTCCTGTAGTGATGTCCATTACCGCTGTCCCAAATTGTATTGCCATGTTTCACGCTAAATTCCGCCGCCCTCAGATTGTGTTGCATTTCTGGGCATCATGGTGTGAGCCATGCAAACAAATGGACGCGGTGCTGGCGCAGCTGGCAGCTGACCTCCCCAACATCATCTGCGCGCGGGTGCGCTAAGCAGGGTCTGCGGTTGTTTAACCTCCTTATTGTGGGGACCATCCGGGGGTTTGGGGAGGTGGGAGATCCCGCGCCGAACAACCCATTCTGCGTGGGCCACAGGTGAAACATTAGGAAAAGATACACTACGAGCAGAAAACATTAGCATCGCGTGTGCATGTTGGTCCGATAGAACATCTAGGTGGAGAACTTATGAAGGAAGGGGAGGTGATTGTTAGGTTGTGAACGATGTGAGAGGAAAGCACATAGGCAAACAGACAAGAAGGACCTCCAAAGTCAGTACGGGGGTCAGTACTTCCTAATCTGGGGGTATCCGTCCATGTTTTTTTTCTTCTCGTCAATCTTCTGGGCTTCGTCGTACCCCAACCAAGTGCCGCGATTTTAAGATACGGCTCGGTGTTATATCTCTCAAAGGCGGTGATCTTTGCTACCCAGATCCGGAGTATAAAAACCCTAAACCCCTAAAATCCTGTCCCCAAGTTTATTGGTTCTTTATCCCCTTCATGGGCCCTACCCCCGGCCAAGCGGCCTCGGGCCGACCCCCAACTCGCCCAATGCGGGTTGTGCTTTTAGGGTTTTATTACGACCTGCCATTGCTCTCGGGGGTCATTGCTTCGGACGGTTGACAGTTGAATTTTAGGGTTTTGCATTCTATGATGATTTTCACCCGTCCCCCCTTCCTTACCTGCGTGATGCAGGTGGAAGCGGAAGCGGTGGATGATGTAACCGTGCAGTACGGAGTTACCACCGTGCCGTACTTTGTATTTCTGCGGGTGAGTACGTGTGTGGTGATGGTAATGGTGGTGGTGGTGGTGGTAATGGTGGTGGAGGTGGTAGTGGTGGTGGTGGTGGTGGTGGCGA